ATCTTGTAACACCTCTACCTCTAGTTTTCCATTGAAAACATCCATATGTTGCAACTCAAAGTCAAAATAGGCAACTAATGCCAAAATAATGCGAAGAAAATCTTTCTTGGACAAAAGAGAAAGTCTCCTTCTAGTCAATTCCTTTTTTTTTTTCAGGAAATTCTTAAGCTATAAGTCTTGCTTTATATCTTTCAATGTTGCCCGATGAGTCCTTCTTTGTTTTAAAGACCTATTTACACCCGATGGCCTTTGCACCATTAGACAACTTGACAAGATCCCATACTCCATTAGATGCCGCATTTCATCTCTCATGGTATTATAACATAAATCAAATTCTTTCTTGTCCATGGCTTGTGAAAACGTTTCAAGATCATTTTCGGCTTCAAAACTGTTGTCCAATTCTTCTAGTTACACGACATAGTCATCTAAAATTGCCAATCTTCCTTCTCTTGTAGATCTTCTTAATGTTGGTTCAACATTTTCTTGAGGGCCATGTTGTCCAACTAGTTGTTCAGCCATTTCTGGCATTTCATGAGTAACTTGATCTATAGAATTATCATCAGTAGATTGTGGGTATTTCATTGGCATATCCAATGAAATACCTATTAACAGTCCTTGGGTCCAATTTCTTCTCTTGTGTATTATAAACTCTTACTTTAGATGGTATCTCCAAACGCACATATATCGCAAACTCGATTTCCAACCCTTCCATAGTTCAGAAGGTGTCTTTGGAACAGCCTTGGTTGGAAATCGATTCAATATATACACAGTCGTTTTAAGAGCTTCAGTCCACAAGGATTTAGGAAGCTTGGAGCTGCTAAGCATACTCCCTACCATGTCCAATAATGTTCAATTTCTTTTTTCTGACACACCATTTTAGTCCCAAGAACCAGGCATGATGTATTGGCAACTATCCCATTCTTTTCAAGAATCTTCCCAAACGAGACAAGGTGCTTGTCCATACTCAGTATATCTACCACAATATTCTCCACCTCTGTTTGTTCTCAAGTTCTTTATTTGCTTACCGCATTGTTTCTCTATTTTTACCTTAAAAATCTTAAAGGCATCCAATGCTTCGCTCTTGTTATGAAGCAAGAAAAGATACATGTATCGTGATAAAGTACTTTGGACCATGTGCATCCATATCTGGACAACAGATATCTTAATGTATGATCTCCAATATGTCTGTACTCCTCTAGGCACATTTCTTTGACTTGTTGATCCGCTTTCCCTCAATATAGTCCACACAAGCTTCAAAATCAACAAAATCCAAAGTATTAAGTATTCCGTTATTTTGCTAATCTCTTAATTCTATCTATAGAGATATGTCACAACCTCTGATGCTACAATGTAGAGGAATTTTCATTCATAATACAGCGTTTTATTACCAATGTGAAAAAGCATAACATTATTACCAGTATAATGTTGTAAATTAATATAGAAAATACCATTCCCAACAAGATTAGATTCATAAAACAAACTGGAAGATGTATCTGAAAAAGTAAAAGAATATCCCAAAAGTACAAGTCTTGAAACTGAAATCAAATTTCTAGAAAAAATGTTAGAACATAAAAGGTCTTTTTCTATTCTAAAATGGAGTCATTATTTAAAACTAAATTACATGTTCAATAGCGTCCACATGTGTACCCATCTTATTTCCCAATAAGATGCTTTACTCACTTCCCATTGGCTTCGTTAGGTTTCATATACATTGCTAAATGTTTAAAATATGGATTGTAACACCAGAATCAATCCACCATGTATTATGATTAACATCAATCATATTAGATTCAAAACAAACAAGAGAGATTGATTTACCTTTATTCTCAAGCAATTTCTAAAATTTGGTGCAATCTTTCTTCATGTGTCCCTTCTTTTTACAGAAGAAACACTTATTTTCCTTTTTTATTTCGCCTTGGGTGGTATTTTACCTTTCTCCCTTTGTTTGGCTTGGATCTAATTCTTCTCTTGGTTCTAGTCATTTTCACGTGTTACCAATAATGCACTCTCACCCATTTCTATAGTCAGTCTTTCTTCCTCTTGAACGCACATGGTTGGAAGTTCATTAATGGACAATTTGTCCTTATGTATGTCATAAGAGATTTTGAAGGTTCCATGTTGCTGCAGAAAATTGTTCAGTATGTAATACAAAAGGAAAGAATTAGACTTTTCAATCTCTAAAGTCTTCAACTGAGTTGCAATGTCCCCAATCTGTATGATGTGCTCACTCACACCTATCACACTGATGAGGCTTAAGGATGAAATTTTCATTATTAGGGTGCTAGCAAGTACTTTATCTGAAGTCACAAATTGTTCATCAATAGCCTGCAATATTGCCTTGACATTGTCATGCTGATCTATGGAACCTCGGATACCGGTAGAGATGTTGGTAATTATGAACATCACACTAAGGCAATTAGGTCGGTCCCATT